TAGGGAAACTGCCCAAGGTCACACAGCCCCAAAGAGGCAGAGTCCAGATACAAATCCAGTCATAGCACAGAAGCCCAAGCTTGTAACACTGAGCTGCACAGCTGCCCCCTTTTCCCTCTATTTTATGTATCTATGTATTTTTTAAAGAATAGTTTATTGATTTTTATCAAAAGTGGGAGAGGGAGAAACATCAATGTGAGAGTGTATCATTGACTGGCTGCCTTCTGCATGCCCCTTACCAGGGATAGAGCCCACCACCTGGGCATGTGCCCCTACCCAACCAGGAATAGAACCTCCTGGTGCACAAGATGATGCCCAACCAAGTCACAGCAGCTAGGGCTAATTTTTTAATAATAATATACACCTTTGTCTTAAATACACCTTTCTTCAACCTACTTTACATTAAGCAATGTATCCTGCAAATTAAAGGAGATCTTTTAAAATAAGAGAGGCAGTACTCTGTCCTTGGGTTTTCTGCCTACTTCTAGTGCCCTCTCCCCCACTCTGCTGGGCACAGGAAATCTGGTTCCTGGCAGAGATTTCACACTGCCTGGCCCATGCACCCCTCGGGAATTATGGGGTCTGGCCAGGCTCTCTGGAGTCTCAGTGGCTGTGTTTCTGGTGGTACAGTTCACAGTTGACCCAGGGCTCACATTTTTCCCTGAAAGGGAAGGTGGAAACAAAAGCAGAGAAATGGTGGTGAAGGGATATATTCTGGTTCTGACCTCCTGGGTAACTACGGGCAAGTGACTCAGACTCTCTGTGCCTCAGTGGGGATGTTAAAACCACCACCTATATCCTAGGATGATGATAAGGAATAAACAAATTGTGTGTGGTGCTCATAACACTGCTGCTGCATACTGTCAATTGTTGTTCCTTTCCCCTCTCAAGTGGGTGCAGGAGCCTCGTGGTCTCTACAGGATTCAGAATGGTAGTTACAAGCAGCTGGGGGGGCTTGTGGAGAGGCCCTTTCCTATTAATAATGTCCTATTCCTATGCTGGAAAGGAAGTTCAGATGTTTACTCCATGATTGGCCTCTCACCTTCCATCAGTCTTACACACACTCTAAGATTTCTTTCACAAAAAGTGGTTAAAAGAGCTGCTGAGTTTGTGCGCTGATCAGTGAGCTGAGAATGACCAAACCACTATGGACATACAGTCCCCAGGTTCAAAGGTTTAACCCCAGCTTGCTAACCTTAATTCACTGGGCCCCAGACTCCCTAAATCAGAAATTGTAGGCTACGTAGGGCCCAGGAGCTGGGGGGTTTCCAAAAGCTTCCTGGTGACTGCAAAGTGCACCCAAGGGTCGAAAACTCCATCTAATGATTGTTTCCAACCATGCTGCTTGGAAACACAGAGGTCTGGCTGTGAGGAACAGCTGCACACAGGGCCACCACCACAGCTCCCAACAGCCCAGCCTCCACAGGCAGTCTTGTTTATGCCTTTGATTTGATGAGTGCCTTCTGCACAGAAATGGTGACAATACCTCAGGTCCTTCAGAGTGATGAAGTCCCAGGTGCACAGAAACTGCCTTCATGGTGCCATATAGTACTGTAAGTTCTATTTAAGCTGGAGCTAAATTTCAGTTTTCTCCTTGATTTATTCATTTTTCAGTGAGTGGGGAACCCAGGAGGTGGCTGTGACTGTGCCTGAACTAGACAACAGTGACTTTAAAAATCACTGCTATAGCTGTAATGAATTCCTTAAACGTTATGGTCCTTGCAGGATGTGCACTCTCATCAGGCCATTTAGTGTATTTAGTATGCCTGTAACTCCCAAATATGTTCCTTTGCCCTCCTGAGAATTTGTGCACGAGGCAGGAATGAGCAAACAGCCAGAAAAGGTATCTGATCACTCACCCTGGGGACAGTGACACTGAGGCTAAGGGCACCTGCCTTCCAACAGGCACTACCTAAAAAGGTTTGACTCCACTTCCTGAAGTTACTAAGCTTTTACAAAACATGTTCCACTTCTGTGTCCATCAGCAAGCAGCCCTCACAGATACATCTATACCTCCCCCTCCATTGGTAGTGCCCCTGGAAGCTCCTTTCATGGGTCACTGTTCATAAGTCCCTCCCTCCCAATCTCAGCCTAGGGGAGCACACATTTCTGCTGGACCAAACTTCATTCTGGCACACCACCAAGCTGCCCACACTGCACCTCATTACCTTATGGACAAGATTCCAAAAAGGGCTGGGAAGCGAGAGAGTGGGGTGAGGGCTGGTAGTAAGCTTGAATAAACAAACACCCACCAGGCAATTTCAGCACAAAACAGATCAAATGGCAGCCCCAGTGGATCATCAGGGAAGTATGTTGTACCTTTTTCAGTAACAGAGAACTCAACCCATGTCAGTTGTGTTTCCACTTTTTAATTCTGCTATTTTCTCAAAATGTAGGTTTTAACAAAGACAACGGACCTAATGTTTTCCAAATACAGTTAGGAATTTAGAGCATAGGCAAATTCAAAGCTTCAGCAAAATATTGTAATGTGCACAGCTAACTTTAGAAAATAGTTTAGGTACACTGTAGTTATAAAACTCAACAGATTATTTGCATGTACTTATCAAAATTCTCCTGATAATACATGAAAACATACAACTCAATAAACTGTGCACAATAAAACCCAAGGCAAATTACATAGGAAAAGCAAAGTTGGTAGAATATATTCATGTTGGAACTGATACTGAAAGACAGGGCACTTTTGTATAATGCCTTGGCCAGGACAAAGCAAACAGCCCTTTTCACCTTGCAGTCAGATTAACTGCCCATTAACAACACTGCTGTGACAGCTACATCAAGAAAGGCCACAGAATGCATATGGAATGTTTCACGCAAATGCTTTTACCAAGTGAACAACAAATGGTTTCAAAGGCAAGGTTAGGTATACTGTGTTCTGCTGGGAGAGGCTGTCAGGACACAGGCTTGCTCCTTGGAAAGTATCATGCAGGTCTCCAACGAAATCAGGTTAGGCGAGCCAACAAATGAACACAATAGAATAAGAACTGGCATGGAACTTAACTGGAAAGAATGCTGTTCGGGCACTGCAACAAAGCATGCTTCCTGGGGAACAACTGTTTCTTAATTCACCTACTATAGAAGCAGACCTGCTACAGAAGCAACCATACCCTAACAGTTTTGCCATGCCTCCTTTACAAAGCATACAGAATTGTTAGACACTAAATTATCACCACTCCAAGTATCTGCTAAATTTAGCACTTTACCAGGACAGTAGGAAAATAAACTTAAAGTAATGATGAGATTTCTTGCTTATGGAGCCCCTGTCCCTATCCCTGCACTTTCTTCTGTGCTACAGCCAAGGAAGGACTCTCCCCACACAAAGGGAAAACCTGCTTCAAAGAGACAAGGGTGCTATCCAGACACCAGTGAGAGGACACAGGCAATGAAAAACTAGAATGTTTAAATTTTGGCAATCAAACATTGCTATTTTAAGAACTCTTAGTAATGTATGTCAGTAGAATTTCTGACAAACACAAAGCCCTTTTCGCTTAAAAAACAGATGACAAAGAAAAGTTGACATGGTGCAAGCTTGTCTTCAGGGTTGTTTTCCTACCCCAGTTAGCTAGTGGAACTGCAGCACAGTCCTCCGAACCTGGTTCCAACAACTGTCAGCTGCCATGAATGTACATTCTCATGTCTGTGACACCCCTAGTTCATTCTTGAAAAGTGGGCTTTGAGATCTCTACCCCTCCCTTCTCCAAGTCTCCTAAGCCTCCGCTCACTATGGCCACTTTCCCACCACAAAATTAGTCCACTCCTGCCAGCTGCTCTATAGCCCTAGTGTATTTTCATAGATTAAGATGGTTTCCAAACATCACAGGAAACAAACTCTCTTCCTGGTTCTTACACACCTCTTCTAGCCTTCTCTTTGAAAAGGGTGTTTCAATCCTGCCTAAAATATAAGGTGTCCTCCAAAATTATATATACACTTTGAATAATTGTTAATTCCAGTGGGTTAAATCTGAAAAGAAAGAAACATCAACTGAGCTATCAGCTATTAAAGGGTGTATAAGTTTGGGGGGACACTCTATAGTATACCTGGCCTGTTCTTATGGTTCCAAGCTACCTGGTGACCAGAATACCCTCAGGGAAGATCTTTAACATGGAGTTTCCAGGCTTTACCAAAAATGGACTCAGGTTTCCCTGGCAACCTGCAAGCTATCACAGCAAGCTGAGGTGGTCTACAGAGCCATCAGCACTAACCCAACCCTGGGTCACCTCTGGAGTAGGACCCACCTGTTACAGAAAGCTCAATATACTGGGGAATCTGAATGCTAACTCAAGAGTTATTTCATTTCTGTCTATTTCAGGAAGGATACGAATTTTAACTGGAGGGCTACGTGCTTACTAAAATAGATAGCTAAACTCATACAGAAAAGTCATGTCCATGCCAAGGGGCCTAATTTGAAAATGTACAGCAGCAGAACTTGACCTTACAGAACTTAGCTTCCCAAGCTTCCTCCAGGAGGTTTCCAGTGCCTCTGTAAATATAACTAGAGACACTGACCAGCAGCAGTACCACTGTCCCAGACTCTAAAGCCTGCCAGAAAGGTTGCTTTCCTTTCTTTTCTTAACATGAAGTTTGTTCTGGTGAAATTATTAACATTTTAAGCAGGAGGAAGAAAAGCTATCTACTGGATGAAATTTTAAAAGGATTTTGCTATTTGCTATACAAATATACATTTCAACTTCCACAATACTCACTCCAGTCTAACCTAACATTTTCTAGAAGAACAAGAGATCAACATTTCAAGCCCATCTTCAAGGGCATTATTACTAATACACAAAAACCCTCTGAGAGTTTCTGCAACTGAAAAAAAAGTAGTGAAGATAAGCAACAGATTAGGGTTCAGACACATTTTCCTTGTTCTCCAACAGCACACAAACTCCTTTAAGAAACAAAACATGTATCTAGATAGTCCTATTAGCTGGCCACCTAAGTTTGCCATAACACTGTGGCCAGCAGCACATGTCATCTGGCTTTAGTATCGCTTTCTTCTCTTTGCACTGCTGTCTTCCTCCTCTGGTCTCCTGTTGTCCCAGCCATAGGTCCTCTTGGTGTGAAGGCTCACACAGCTAAGCATCTCCTGGTTCCTGTCACTGAACACCCTGGTTTTTCTCTGGTGGCTGTGCTCCCCTTCCTGGTCACAGGTCCTTTTATTTGTGGAGTCAGAACTGGCAGCAGGAGGTTCACAGGACACACGAGGTCTGTGGCTGCTCCCTGCGGCCCTGGACAGCTCCACAGTGCCACTTAGAGCCTGAGGATTTACAGGGAAGCTGTGCTCTCTTGAGGGAGGGGTTGCTCCAGCATGACAGGGTCTCCAGAGCTCTGGATCCCTTAGGCAGTTCCCTTTGGCTTCATGGCTCATGCCCATCCTCCTGAGCAGTCGTGGGTCCCGAAGTTGGTCCTTAACAGGAAGCTGGTCCTTTGTACCAGCAGCTTCCTTAGAATCTGAGGGTCTGTGATAAAGGGAAGCAGCAAGCAACATCCTGACCAGTTCACTGTCCAGCCTGCTGCTGGGCAAGCCACCCTGGGGGCTAGAGCCCTCTGAAGCAGCAGCAGCAGCAGCAGCAGCAGCAGCAGCAGCAGCAGCAGGGGGGTGGGTCAGGCTTCGCTGCAGTATGGGCTTGAGCTTCAGGATCTTCCTGGCTTCGTGTTTATAGTTATTGTCGCAGGTTTTAATGATGGCACCACGCCTCTGTGCATCCTGAATCAGGTGGTTCCAATGCTGATTGTCCTTGAAACCAAGAGAAGAGAGAAGCAGTTACACCCTGACAAACATAAACCTAGGAAACAGGAGGACCCCACTTCATTTCTGAACAAATAAAGAAGTAGACTTTCACAAACTGATTCTCCAGAACCCGTTACTTCTTAGAGAACACTGAGGAAAAGAAGTCCACGTACAGACCAACAGCCCATTAGAAGTCATCACTGTGAGCAAGAATGCCAGCCATTCACCCCGGTGGCTCCTACTGCATGGAGAGCAAGGTATGCTGGACAAGAGATGGAAGGAGCTATTTACATTTTGGATAATTAAAAAAAAAAAATAGAGTGAAAACTTCAGGTTGTACCAGCCATGTTTTGATTTGTTTTTAAAAATGTATCTTGATTTCAGAGAGAGGGAGGGAAAGGAGGAGAGAAAAACATCAATGATGAGAGCTGTCATTGATCGGCTACCTCCTGTATGTCCCCGACTGAGGATTGGGACCACAACCTGGGCATGTACCCTGACTGGGAATCAAACTGCTGAGCCACACTTGGCTGGGCTGTACTCAGCAGCTGCACATGACCAGCACTCAGTGAACTGGACAGTGTGGACAGAGCCTTTCTATCATCCCAGGAAGTGCCCTGACTGCTGATCTGGTCCTGCCTGCCTCTTGCAAGGCTAATGACACTTGCAGCAGGAAGGCTTGGCTTCAGATAGCCCTACCTAACTTCTGAGTGCTTGTGACTGTTCTAGAAAAAGCACCATAGCCTTCAACAAATTCCCAAAGGTCTCCAAAACTCCAAAGGGCTACACCATCTTAATCCAAGGATGGAAGTAATGCCACTTTCTGTCACTTTACCAGAGGAGACAAGGTTAGAAAAGCACATCTAATGCATGAAAGCCCACATAACTTCAAGTCTCTTTCCTCTCCTCCCTTTGGTATTTTCCTCAGCAGTAAACTGCTCCTGCATAACCTTCAGAACTTGGGCTCCTTACGAAGAAGAAAAAGTAGCATGAGGAGAAAAACAGACAAAGGCTGACGGAAGAGGAGGCATGGCTGCCCTGGGACCATGTGGACGTCAAGAATCCATGGCCAATGTGACTCAGTTAGAGTATAGTCTCATGTAGCAAAAGGTCATAGGTTTGATTGTCTGTCAGGGCACATACCCAGGTTTCAGGTTAGATCCCCAGTTGGGGAGCATATGGGAGGAAACAAATAGGTATTTCTCTCTCACATCAATTTTTTTCTATTTCTCCCTTTCTCTGTCTCTTTCCCTTCCTCTCTCTCTAAAATCAATAAAAACATAACGTCACGTGAGGATTTTAAAAAAGTGCCTTTTATTCTTAGGAAACATTAGAATCATAGGAATTTGCAAAATACAGCAGAGCAGTTCCACGTGCCCTTCAGTTTACCCAAATAGTTGTTGAAGACAAATCTTTAAATGTCCAATATATCTAAATTTATGTGGCAGAGAAGCAAAACAGTGAAATTAACAGAAAGGTTTTTAATTATAAGAACATATTACCCCACTCAATTTTATCCCAATGAACAGAAGTTCATTTTTTTAAAAAAATATATCTTTATTGATTGCAGAGAGAGGAAAGGAGAGGGAGAGAGAGAGACAGAAACATCAATGTTGAGACAGTCATTGATTGATCCCACAACCTGGGCATGTGCCCTGACCAGGAATCGAACCCTGATCGCCTGGATCCTAGGTTGATGTTCAACTGCTGAGCCAGGCCCAGCCGGGCACAGAAGTTCAATTTTAAGAGCAGAAGGAGTAACAGTGACCTCTATTCCACTGCATGCACTAAATGTCAATGTTTTATAATACATTACAAACAAAGCCTTTAGCAGTACTTGAGGTACACAACTACAAAAGTCCAAGAGGACACAAAACAGATGCTGAAGATATAGCTGGTAAGAGTACAATGAGAAAGACTATGTTTGAGTGCTCTCTGGTGGCACTAACCAAAATGGGGAAATCTCTCCTAAGATAATGCCATGACTTTGTTAAAGAAATGAGGAGAACTGAAAGTTGTCGCCCCTACAGCAAATAAGCTTTAGCTGGCTGTGCTAACACCAAGTGAAGACAGACATTTGTCTCCCAAATGAACCTGCTTGCTGGCCCTTTTGGAGCGGCACCTGCACTCCTGTCCTGCAGCCCCACTGCTCTGATCTCAGAGCTTAGACAGAGGACAGCTGAGCACACTCTCTCACAAGCTCTCACTGTGGTGTTCAACTGGCCAACAACCACATTTAGTAGTTCCAATACTTCACAAGTACAATTCACACATCATCTAACAATCCTAGGATATAGATATAATTTTTTAAAGGTCATCTTGAGAGGACACTGGATACCTGGGCCTCGGGCTGAGGCAGAGAGTAGTCTCCGTGTATGACAGCAGCAGGAAGAAGCTGCTGGGGGACACAGAACTTAGGCAAAAGGCTCATTCTCTCATGTCTCCATGTATCCTCCAAACCGTTTCCATGTTGATGGAAAATAAAAACTAATTCTCAACCCTCTATCAGTAATGAAGGGTAAACTTCTGAGTTCTCTAGTCACCAAGAATGTACCTACCACTAGGGTCCTCAGATGTCCAAGGATGAAGAGGCTGTATTTGGCTCGTGTAATGGTGATGTTCAAACTCTGCAAACTCGCCAGAGATCTAGGCAAAAAAAAAAAAAAAGACAAAAAAAAAAAAATTTACTTT